ACTCCAGTCTTCAGTGTCACATGATTCCTCAGAAATCATTCTAATCATTCTGATTTGCTGCTCAAGAAACATTTCTTATCCTTGTTGAAAACATTTGTGCTGCTTAATTTTTTTGTGACTACTGATACACTTTTTTTTTCAGCATTCTTTGACAAATAGACAAAAAGAACAGCTTTTGGAACATTATAGATGTCTCTACAGTCACTATTGATTAATTTTTATTAATTTCTATCCCCAAAAAATCTGACCCCAAACTTTTGAATGGTAGTGTATCCCTTTCATTCATTTTATTTAAGGCTGAAAAGGTTCCAACGAAATAGTTCCTTAAAGAAACTATTAACAAAACAACAACAACAAAAAAAATAAATGTTCTCTATTGAAGCATCTTTCTGTTGTGTTTGTGACCTTCAGTGAGATCAGCCGGCTGGACCTGGGCCTTATTGTAGAGGTGTGGAACAAAGGTCTCATCTGGGACACCATGTTAGGAACAGCCTGGATTCCACTCAAAAGCATCTGCCATTCAGAGGAGGTCAGGAAGTCCTGCACATCTCTCAAAATCATTCCCTGATAAAAATCAATTCTGACATTTTAAGCTGTTTAATTATTGCGAACTAGGTCATCAAGCATCAAGATGTCCTAAAGATTCCTCTCTTTCATATGTTTATGCTGTAATGAATAACCTTTCCTCTGAACAGGAGGGCCCTGGCGAATGGATATTTCTGGACTCTGAAGTTCTGATGAAGGCAGATGAGATTTATGGGACTAAAAACCCAACGCCACATCGAGTCCTACTGGACTCTCGCTTTGAACTGCCCTTCGGTGAGATTGACTCTTTAAAATTGATTTATATTATTTAAAAAAGTACAAAATTTCATCTTATTTGTCATAATTTACACAACTGTTCAAAAGTTTGGGGTCATAAAAGCTTTGTTCAGACCGTCAGTCCAAATCCGAATATTTATGTATCCAGTTGGAATCTGATATCATGGTGCATCGCAAATGTTAAGATCCAATTTTTGTGTCCCATAGCACTCTTTAGTTTTTACTGAATATCTGCACTGGATTCTATGGCAACGACGTTGCATTGGTATGGTTATGCTAAAAACAAAAATAACAGCAATACAGTTTGCTATGCGGAGGTTGTCTTTAACATGACAACATGTTGCCGTCGCACTGGATTCAGACGTCTTATGAGGCAGTTGCAGAAACTTAAGAAGGTGGAATTCATGGATTTATACTGTGTTCTGAAAAGTGACAAAAAATTCGATCTGAGCGGTCAGACTGAAACGGATTTCCAGAAATGCAATTTTAATAGAATTTCAAAGCAGATATGAATGTAGCTTGAAATGGATTTGTAAAAATTCAGATTTAATGTGATTTGGATTCATGTGATTGGATTTCAATCAGATATGCACAAAAATCAAGGATGCATAAAGATTATCAAAATTGACAGTAAAGATATTTATAATGTTACAGTAGATTTCTGTTTCAAATGAATTATGCTCTTTTTAACTTTCTAGTCACCAAAGAATCCTGAAAAAACATTATCATGGTTTCCACCAAAATATTAAACAGCACAACATTGATGATAATAAAAA